TTCCTGGTAATACGGGCCTGATGCCAATCTTCAGGCCATGTGCTGCTACATCATCTCCCTCTGAAATAGATCCCAAAACCTAAGGAGCTCGCAGTGTCTGAATGAACCTGGAAAATCCACCTTCAACCCTATCTCACTTCTCCAGAAAGATATTCAATTAAAACCTGCTAAAACTGATTCCAGACTTGTAGGTCCTCCCTCATACCTTGCGTAACCCTAGTCCTATGCAATGGGTGATGCAGGCCCTCCATCGCATTGCAAAGCTGATGCAAAAAGGCACGTCCCAGCACCATGACTCTATGGTGTCGTGATGGTCTATGATTTCTTGCAGCTCTTACAGAGACACCTTTCTCCTTTGTAATAGTGGCTAGATCCAAATTTTAAGGTCAGCTAATTTGTTGCCTGGCAACTTTGATGTCTGTTGTACAGTGTCTAGCTCAATGTTGGTCCTTCTGTTTTTCCCCTCTGCCAGTTGTAAATCTATCTCCTCTGCCATTGCTTGGATAGTGTTCAGGATAAGTTTACACCTCCCTGTGTTCCTCTCACCACAAAAAAGAAAATCATCAAGGTAATGGGCCTTACACTTACGGCCCACCCTGCTTCTGAGCTTCCATTCAATAAACGAGCTGAAACGCTCAAGTGCTGCACCTGACACATGGGTAAGGCTCTGTCAACATAGAGGGATCCTTGAAAATGAAAGCCTAACAGATCAAAATCATGCAGATGAACTGGCAAAATCTGGAAAGCTGATTTAATATCACATTTTGCCATCTCCACCCCTACACCACACTTCAGTATCATGTGAACCTCCTCCTCAAAGAGATGCAGCACACTGTACAATGTTTCTGAGGGATGGAATTGTTGACCGACTCTCCCTCAGGGTAGGACAAATAATGTATTAATTTAAACTCTCCCTGTACCTTTTTTGGAACAATTCCTAAAGGTGAGACCCTTAAGGTTTCCAGAGGGGGTGATGTGAAAGGACCCAAGACTCTCCCTTCCCTTTCTTCCTTGGAAACTTTTTTCTGAACCACCTTTTCCATTCCAAACAATGATTCACTTGCAAAAGCAAAAGCGCAGTGTATTGGAGCTCTCTCTTTCACTGGCGCCAGGAAAGGAAGAGGGCGGGGAGAGGGTGGAACACCCTTAAATAACCTAACATTCCCTCCTCTCACCAACGACAATTACCACAAGACTAAGAGTCTCACGTCATCTGAGGAGGGAGGCAAAAGCGAGCCGCCCAGCAAGGTTCAATCAGTTGTTTAGTAAATAGAGGGACAGTAAAGGACTCAAGAGGCTGCTCAACTATAGAAGCTCACTAAAGGTGTGGAACTGGTAAATATTGTTAAATATCTCACTTATCTTGAAAGCTAGATTAGGGTCACTTTAAGTTGTTTCCAACTTGATGGCAGAAAACATAACATATTCTGTTTAAGTTAACCAATTCATTGGCAGTAACAGATTAATAGTTCTTATGTTCTTTTCATTACAGATCATATGCAAGTACAGAAGACAACATGAATAATGATACTTTGATGTCTACTTTTCTGCTGATGAGAATCTCCAATGTCCGAGAACTACAGATCTTACACTTTTTCCTATTTCTAGTATTGTATCTGATGTCAGTAACTGGCAACCTTCTCATTATCATTGCAGTGGCCTTGGATTATCACCTTCATACCCCTATATACTTCTTTCTGTTCAATTTAGCTATGCTAGACCTTGGTTCAGTGTCAGTCACAGTGCCCAAATCTATGGCTGTGTCCCTTATGGATGACACTTCAATTTCATATGCTGGATGTGTAGCTCAGGTTTTCTGTTATCTCTTCTTTCTAACTTCAGGCTTTTGTATCTTAGTTATAATGGCTCATGATCGCAACATTGCTATTTGCAACCCACAGCAGTATGAAAGAATCATTCACAAAGGAGCCTGCTTTCATATGGTAGCAATAGGATGCTTTAGTAGTTTTTTTTATGCACTCTTACACACTGTTGGTACTTTTGCAAATACCTTCTGTTCTAATACAGCCAGTCAGTTCTTCTGTGAAATCCCACAGTTACTCAAGCTGTCATGCTCTGACCTTTATCTTGTGGAAGTTGGGCTTATTGTACTCAGCTGCAGTACAGCAATAGGATGCCTTATTTTCATCATCCATACCTATGTGCAGATCTTTGCTACAGTGCTCAGAATCCCCTCAGTACATGGTCAGAAAAAAGCCTTTTCTACTTGCATTCCCCACCTCATAGTTGCCTCCATGTTTATATTCAGTGGAATCTGTGCCAATGCAAGGCCTCGGACTAATACCTCTTCTGTTCTGGACATGGCTTTTGCTGTGATGTATGCTGTAATTCCTTCCCTGTTGAATCCATTCATTTATAGCATTAGAAACAAAGAACTCAAGACTACTTTGTGGAAACTGGTAAATTCCAAGCTTTTCTTTTAAAACTATCTACAAATTCTAATACAGCCAGTCAGTTCTTCTGTGAAATCCCACAGTTACTCAAGCTGTCATGCTCTGACCTTTATCTTGTGGAAGTTGGGCTTATTGTACTCAGCTGCAGTACAGCAATAGGATGCCTTATTTTCATCATCCATACCTATGTGCAGATCTTTGCTACAGTGCTCAGAATACCCTCAGCACATGGTCAGAGAAAAGCCTTCTCTACTTGTATTCCTCACCTCACTGTTGTCTGTATGTTGATATTCTGTGGAATCTTTGCTTATGCAAAGCCTCGGTCTGATACATCATCTGCTCTGGATGTAGCTTTTGCTGTGACATATTCTATAATTCCTCACTTGTTGAACCCATTCATCTATAGCATGAGAAACAAAGATCTCAAGAATGCTTTGTGGAAATTGGTAAATTTCAGACATTCCTCTAAAACCATTTCATCTGATCTTTAGTGTGAATTGTGTACTAATGCAGTTCTATTCATATTGTGTATTAATCCTGATTCCCTTGTTACTTTTTCATTTATCTTTCCCAATTCATGTTTACCCTCTTGAGTTATATTGCCTCTATGTTTTTTGGAATATTGTATTATTTGTATTATTTGCCTATGAACAGCTTCCACTGATACCTCTTCTAATCTGGTAATTGGATTTCCCAAGATATACAGTATACATACCGGTATTTCCTCCAGTGCTGAATTGATTCCTTTACCTCAGTGGTTCCCAAACCTGGGTCCCTGGAAGTTTCTGGACTACAACTCTCAGAAATCCTGGCCACCATAGCCACTGGTCAAGGCTTATGGGAGTTTTAGACCAAGAATACCTGGGGACCTATGGTTGTGAACAATTGATCCCCAGCATGAAAAACAATGCTCTGTGAAAAATGTTAGATCTGGAACTTGACTCTAAGCCATGTTTAAATGTGTCATGTAAGAATAAAACTGTATGCAAATTTGGACATGAATATTGGCTTCCATAATTTCTAACCTTTTGCTTGAACCGTATCTGTATCAAGATCAAATTAATTCTGTTAGGATTAATTAATTAAATTGGAAGAGTCTCAATGCATGCTGGAAGGTTGCAGCATACTATGGACTTGAAAAGACAGAGTCAACCGAAGTAAGGTCGTGGTCTAGAAACCTCTGACTCTGCTATGCCTGTTACATTCTTTGGGTCATCATTATACACACTAAAGGCCTATTGCTACTAAGGGCCTGCCCTTTATCTTAGAGAACTCTCTCTAGGTGTGTCCCCACTTTGTCGTGAACTACACTTTTCCTGGCACAGTGAAATTTGGTGAGATCCAGCTGGTGCTTAAAAGGTCCTTATTTTCAGTGCAATCTATTTTAACTCTCAATATCCATTGTGAAGGCAGAACAAACATCTATTTTGTATCTCAAAGAATGCCAGCTCTTAAAGAGGAAGAATGGATCACTTTAAGTAGAAACACAAGTAGATGAAGTCTTTTCCCCCACCCTATGCAAAACAGTGTTATCAGGGAACTGTATATCATAATTATATGCCAGTGTGGAGAGTGAGCAGGTAACTCATGCTTAAATGTATCCTGTAAGAACAAAATTGTATAAGAATTTGGATATCATCTTGGGTTTTGTGACCTGCAATTTTACGCTAGGACCACTTTGTTATGCAGATTGAATTAATCCTGTTACGTGCCTTGAAATTCAATGTTCTTATCCAAGCAAAATATATCCCTGGTTTGGATAACAGCTTGGCTGATGCTGTATCATGCCGACAGATCCCGTGGTTCAGGGAGTTAGATTCAGGAGCCAGTGGCGTCCAGACAGACTACCAGCAGAGGTCTGGCAAATTGGCAGGAGGACGCCGAAAGAGCTATAGGCCTGGCCCTGGCTCCAAGGGTGCGGAAGGCATACCGGGCAGTGAGTACAGAGTTCCAGGAGTTCAGGAGATCAGTAGACTGGGAACCATTGTGGCCTGCTCCCATGGAGCACCTGCAGCAGTTTACAGTGTTCCTTAATAGAAGGGGTTTAGCTAGTTGCTGCCAAATATCTGCAGGGACACCTTTGAAGCAGTACTGTTTCAAGCTGCCTCCTTGCTGACATTTTTCGGTGCATTAAGGATCAGCAAGGTGGTAGCAGCTGGGAAAGGCGATGCATCTAGTTTAGCCCTACAATGGCACGATGTGACGTTAGCAGAGGATATGGTGCAAATTCGCATCTGCCGGTCCAAGGCAGACCAGCGAGGGAAGGGAGCAAACCTTACTTTAGGTCCCTGTTCAATAGAAATCTTTTTGTCCGGTAAAAGCAATAGGAGTTTACTTAAAGGTTAGAGGACACGGTCATGATTATTTTTTCATACATGAGGACGGAACCCCTCTAACAAAATACCAATTTTGGAAAATTACCGACTTAGTGTTAGGTAAGGCTGGGGTCCATGGCCTGAGGTTTGGAACCCATTCCTTTAAATGACTTAAAGACTAAACAACAACAAAGTTTAAATAAACTATTTAGAATTTAAATATTAACAATTCTTCTGTTCTTTTCTCTACAGATCATATGCAAATAGTGAAGACAATATGAATAATCATACTTCAAAATCTACTTTTCTGCTGATGAGAATCTCTGATGTCCAAGAACTGCAGATCTTACATGCCTTTGTATTTCTAGCATTATACCTGCTGTCAATAATTGGAAACCTTCTCATTCTTATTGCAGTGGCTTTGGATTACCGCCTTCACACTCCCATGTATTTCTTCCTGTCCAATTTAGCAGTGCTAGACCTTGGCTCAGTGTCAGTCACACTGCCCAAATCCATTGCTATGTCCCTTGCAGATGACACTTCAATTTCATATTATGGATGCGTTGCTCAGGTGTTCTTTTTTATCTTCTTTTTTGCTACAGGTTTTTGTGTCTTAATTCTAATGGCTCATGATCGCAATATTGCTATTTGCAAACCACTCCAGTATGAAAGAATCATGCACAAAGAAGTTTGCTTTCATATGGTAGCACTAGGTTGGTTTGCTGGTCTTTGTAATGCCCTATTACACACTGGTGGCACTTTTGCAAATGCCTTCTGTTCTAATACAGTCAGTCAGTTCTTCTGTGAAATTCCACAGTTATTAAAGCTCTCCTGCTCTGACCTTTATCTTGTGGAATTTGGGCTTATTGTACTCAGCTGCAGTATAGCAATAGGAAGCCTCATCTTCATCATCAAAACATATGTGCAGATCTTTGCTACGGTGCTCAGAATCCCCTCAGTACATGGTCAGAGAAAAGCCTTCTCCACCTGTATTCCTCACCTCACTGTTGTCTCTGTGTTAATACTGTGTGGAGGTTCTGCTCATGCAAGGCCCCCAACTAATACCACTTCAGCTCTGGATGTGGCATTTGCAGTGATTTATTCTATAATTCCTCCCCTGTTGAATCCATTCATCTATAGCATGAGAAACAAAGAGCTCAAGGCTGCTTTGTGGAAATTGTTAAATTTCAGGTTTTCTTCTAAAACCATTTCTATCCATCTTTAGAAATGATTCTGAACGTATTATTTTCAGATTCATCACTGATCTTATCATTTATCCTTCCCAATTCATGTTCTGAATTCTGTTGACACTCTTTATTGAAGGCCCCCTATATGACCTGATAGCAAAAACTTATTAAACTGTAATCCAAAAATATCATGCATGTTTGTAAATTAGATTTTTGTGATTAAAGTCACTACTGAAACTTCTTTTCCTTGCTAGTGCCACCTTAATCTGCTATTGAAGTTTTTTTTTGTCTCGAATGGCTTCCCACGGAGCTCAACACTGGCATATATTCCCACACACTCCAAGGATGCTTATGTGTAGGTCCCTATGAAAATGACCCAGTCACAGAGTCTTTTGGGCATGTAAAATATATTTTAGAGCAGGGGTCTCAAACATGCAGCCTGGGGGCCATTTGCGGCCCCCCAGATGATAGTTTGTGGCCCTCGCCTTGCCTGCCCCCTCAAAGCGCCCACACATCCTCTGCTGTCAAGAGTAAAAAAAAAGCCTTGCCTCGCTCGCCTGCTCTCTCCCAAGACAGCACCTCTTGCACCCTCCATCCAGAACTGCAGCCTGCCAGCCAGCCCACCTGTCTGTCGGCTAAGGAAACTCCTGGGCGGCTTCCTCAGGCTCTTGCTCCGCTTGGTGGAAAATCTGATGCGGCCCAGCCTCACCCAGACTCTGCCTCTAACGGCCCCCAGGTAAATTGAGTTTAAAACCCCTGGTATAGATCAAAGAGGCCTCAATGATGCAAGTACACAGTGCATGCTGGGAACACTGACACCCAAGATGGCAGAAGGATTGATAAATTGTTGCTGCCATGGCAGTGTTGCCTGTTGTTCCACCTGAGTCTCCAGCTCTTCTGGGTGTGGTGGTGATGGCCCAGTAAAGCAGAAGAGGACCTGGGCATAGCCCACAGTAGACATTGTATAAAAGGACGGGATAGAAAAACAAACAAACAAACAAACAAACAAACAAACAAATAAATATTTTATAATTGAGCTTTCCATTTTTAATTTCAGATTTCATGAGTTTCTTAAAAATCTCATCCAAGTCAGTACAATGTTTGATTTTGAATAAGACTAAGTTTGACACATATTTTCTGACCCTTGATTACCACTTGCATACCCCAATGTATTTCTTCCTCTTCACCTTAGCCATGCTGGACCTTGGCTCAGTGTCAGTCACTATGCCCAAATCTATGGCTATGTCCCTTACAGGGGACACCTCAATTTCATATGTTGGATGTGTTGCTCATGTTTTCTTTTGTTTCTTCTTTTTATCTTCAGATTATATTGTTTTAATTATAATGGCCCATGATCGTTATCTTGCAATTTGCAACCCACTCCAGTATGAAAGAATCATGCACAAAAGAGCCTGCTTTCAGATGGTAGTGATAGGGTGGATTACAAGTCTTGGTTATGCCCTGTTGCACACTGGTGGCACCTTTGCAAACACCTTCTGTTCTAACACAGTCCAGCAGTTTTTCTGTGAAGTCCCCCAGTCGTTAAAGCTCTCCTGCTCTGATGTTTATCTTCTGGCAATTGGGCTTCTTGCAGTGAGCTGTGGTATTCTGCTAGGATGCCTTATCTTCGTAATCAAAACATATGTGCAGAAAATCTTTGCTGCAGTGCTCAGAATCCCCTCTGTACATGGTCAAAGAAAAGCCTTCTTGCATCCCTCACCTCACTGTTGTCTCTGTGTTTATAATGAGTGGAAGCTCTTCTTATGCAAGGCCTCTGACAGATACATCTTCTGCTCTAGACATGGCTTTTGCTTTCATATATGCAGTCATTCCTTCCCTGATGAACCCATTCATCTACAGCATGAGAAACAAAGAGCTCAAGGCAGGTTTGTGGAAATTGCTAAATGTCAGGTTTGTCTCTAAAACTGTTTTATCCCACCTTTAGAGTTAATTCTCTACAAGGCCACTTCTATTCAAATTGGTTTTTGGCCCTGATAGCTTTGCTCTTATGTAGGTCACCTTTTTGGATGCATCTTCACCATATTGAGGTATGTTTGCACACCTACATGATCTGACAGAGAAAATATATTGAAATTTGTGTTCATTGATTTCATTGATATTCATTAGTAATATGCAGAGTTCCAAATTACAATTTGTGGATTTAACACACTGGTGGGACAGTTGCAAAGACCTCTGTTCCTTGCTAGTTCAACTTTAGCCTGCTACTGAGGTCTCAATCTCATGCAACTTTCACTTTGATACAGTCTCTGAAACTCCAGGGCTGCTTCTGTGAGAGTGCTTACATAAGGGAACCGGTGCCTAAGAGAGACAAAATAAATGTTATAGAATATATTTCAGTATGAAAAGGAAGTGATATATTTCAGAATTTCTAAGTTGAAAGATGAGGAAGCAAGTTTGTGAAGATATAAGACCCAATTCTGGCATTAGGCCAAAATCCATCTTCATCTATGGCCTGTGCTTTAGCCCATCTACCTTTGCATTCGGAGATCTTGCTGACATTCAGATGGGAACATAGGAGATGCCCTCCATCCCTACCACCTGCTAAGCCCTCTGTAGATTCATGCATAACATCTGAAGAGGGATGTAGTGTCCAGGCATTCCGAAAGAATATAAGACATTAATTGGTTGTTGTGGGCTTTCTGAGCTGTTTGGCCGTGTTCTCAAGGTTTTTCTTCCTAATGTTTTGCCAGTCTCTGTGGCTGTCATCTTCAGAGGACAAGAGTCAGAACTCTATCTCTGCTCCATAGAATTCTGACTCCTGTCCTCTGAACATGCCATCCACAGAGACTGGTGAAACATTAGGAAGAAAAACCTTAAGAACACAGCCAAACAGTCCAGAAAACCCACAACAGCCATAGGATCCTGGCCATGAAAGCCTTTGAGAATGCATAAAACATTAACTTGAATTATGATTCACAAACTATAGGTACACGAATGATGGAAGAAATCTCCCCATTCCTTCTTTCCTATGGAGATCATGTCTCATAAAATATTTCAAATTTATTCTCTGCACTCATCTGCTTTTATAATGAATCCTGAAGTAACTGAACGTTATTAAAAGATCACAGTAATAAATACTGTGTTAAATAGGAAAATTCAAATCAAGCCTGAACTGTCTCTCCAGGCAAAAATGTTGAAACTGATGTGCTATTTTGGGTGCCTTTTGAGAAGACAGGATTCTCTGGAAAAGAAAATAATGCTGGGAAAGGATGAAGACAGCAGGAAAAAAACTAAATACAAGATGGCCTGACTCCCTAAAGGAAACCACAGGTTTGAGTTTTCAAGAGCTGAGGAGAGGTTATTCTGGAGATCACTCATTCATGGGATCACCATAAGTCAAGGGTGATTTGATGGCACAAACAATGACAAAAAATAACCATCCACTGTGAGGACAGCTATTTCATTAGTGAGCCATTACAATCAATGTAAGATTACTTAAGGAACTGTATGCAAATAAAACATTCAAATGCCTCATAGAGTTCACATTGTTTTGGATTTTCCAGTGTCAAAGAGAACTTCATTGCATCACGGCTGGGAAAATATCTCATGCTCATTATTTGTGAAGGTTCCCCTTGACATTTTCAGCCTAGTCGTGTCCGACTCTAGGGCGCGGTTCTCATCCCCGTTTCCAAGCCGTAGAGTCAGCATTTGTCCGAAGACAGTTCCGTTGTCACGTGGCCAGCGCGGCTATACACGGAACGCTGTTTACCTTCCCACTGTGGTGGTACCTATTTATCTACTTGCATTTACATGCTTTCGAACTGCGAGGTTGGCGATGAGCTGGGACAAAGCGACGGGAGCTCACTCCATCGCGTGGATTCAATCTTACGACTGCTGGTCTTCTGACCCTGCAACACACAAAGGCTTCTGCAGTTTAGCCCACAGCACCACCACGTCCCTCTTTACTTTTACTTGTTTTCTTCTTAGTAAAACCCCAGTCTTGTTACATAGAATACAATAAGGAACACAAATGTTGATCTCTTAACTAGTGGCACTCTGATGTTTATTTTATGCCAATCTACATAAAAAACAGAATTCTGACCATGGTCACTGCAGCATATGGTTTGGGGGCATTCTTCTGAAGATCAGATAAGCTTGGATCATGTGGAGTAATGCTGTTCTTAATTTCGGGAAGAACAGGCATGCTTGTCTTGGGAACCAGGAATCACGCTGCAAGTAGTTTCTTATCCCACGATGTTTCGTCCTCACCTAGAAGCAGAAGACTTAACCAGCTTTCTTCATCTGCTTTCTACTCTTTCCAGCAAGTCCTATCAGAGGTATACAAACAAAGGGTTCGAAAAAGTCCTTTCATTCATTCATTCTTAAAGAGATCATGAACTGCTGGATATACTGAGGACATATACTGAATTGTAAAATGAATGTTTACAAGTGCTATTCCTGATTTAAAGGCCCCACATAAAGTAAGAATATACTTAGGCTTCAAGCACTAGCATATGCCATGTTGCTTCCACTGATTTATTTGTCTCTGTTGCAAAAGCACACAGAGGTAGTCCCACAATATAGTCCTGCCAGGATATTGTTATTGATTTAGTCACTTTTTACATGTATTGTGATTCTTTAATCAAATTTATTTAGGTCTTCAGTAAACTGGCATGAACAAGGGTCTTTCATTGTGAGTGCATTTCTTTCACCACTAACAGTTGTGTAACTGGCAATAAAAAAAGTTCTATAGCCCAAAGAGTTTAGGTTACTTCACCTAGTATATAGATATACAATGCTTAGATGTCTTATGCTATTCATATTGTGATGAATTTTCAGACATGAATTTTTGTGAATCACAGAAAAATATACCACAGTGATATTTTTTGGAATTATTGTCAGCCTTATATGTTGCCTTTAAGAGGTTTAGCTCAGAGGGACCTTTTCTAAGCTGAGATGACTGTCGATCAGTAACCAATTTTTCCATTTCTGCCTCTAATTTTGAAGACAGCCACACTTCTCTGCTTATTAAAGCCTATTTGTGTAACCAGTCAATTTTCTACAATATGCTTTTTTTATTTGTTCAGAACTATGAGTAAATTGAACCTTTTATTCTTTTTCTTACCAATCTCTCAGAGTGAATTATTGAGACTAACAATGCCAGTTGAGGATAACCAATAAGGGGTGGTTTACTTTGGGGAAACTTGAAGCTTATTCTGCTCTGTAGGCCCCTGAACTACCTGCTGTTTGTAAGGGAGGAAGCAGTGATAAATTTCCATGTTTACATAGGCAGAATCTGTTTAAATTAACCAGTTAATTATAATTAACAGATATGCAGTTCTTCTGTTCTTATCATTACAGATAATCTGCAACTACAGAAGACAATATGAATAATCATTCTTCAATGTCTAGTTTTCTGCTGATGGGTTTCTCTGATGTCCGAGAACTGCAAATCTTACACTTCTTTGTATTTCTAGTATTGTACCTGATGACAGTCATTGGGAACCTTCTCATTATCACTGCAGTGGCCTTAGATTACCGCCTTCATACCCCCATGTGTGATGAGATGGGTTTTTAAGTTAAAATCTTTTAAAAGCATATGGCTTTTGTAATTATGAAGTGAGCCAGAGAGGTTCCATTTTGTTTCTTTGTATATAATATCTGTGCTATGCTGACAAGTTGTTTTCTAGGCAAGCAGAGAGGATGTTATTCTGAAGGCCTGAGAAGGATTCTGTGTGATTAGATAGATGGAAATGTTGTGACTCTTTGAGAAACCACCGTAACCCAAATAACATCTGCTGTGTATGAGAAAGAATTCATGTGATGTAACAGGACTGTTTGCCTAGTAACGAACTCTGATTGGATGACATCGTGGGAAGGTGCATTAGGCCCTTGCCAGTTACTCTTGAAAAAGGAACTTTTTACCTATGGACTTTGTCTTTCCAAGACCGACCTTTCAGTGATTCGTGACCTACCTTTCAGCCATATGGGACTTACCCTGATGTCTTGAGAGAGAGTTTGGTGGCCTACCTACATGGACTGGTTTCTATGCTTTGCTGGATTACTTTTGGACTTATGGGATTTTCCTAAGGACTATGCATGGACTATTTTCTATGGACTGTTACCTATGGAATATTCTTTATGGACTTCTTTTCTTGGAATACTCCATATGGACTATGCTCTTGTAATGTTGTAAGGACTATGGTATATTTAATGGATTTTTCTTTTCTAAGGACTATGGGACATATAATGGATTTTTACTTTTGTTTAGGGATTTTTATTCTATAGGATCACTGAGGACTATAGCCTTGTTATAACCAACTTGGATTATTTTGTTTACTAATGATTTCCTGGACTGGAACTGTTTGTATTCTTTTTAATGGCTTTTT